GCCCTGTTTGAACAAAGCTTGGCAAACAGGTTTTTTTTACCGTTGACCCAGCAAACACCCGGCGGGGACATAGTAAGAAAAATTTCAGGCTCAGGGCACACACATTCCTTAGGCAAAATTTTTTTCATTTCGGGTAATATCTGCGTGGAACGACCTTCCTCCGACGGTTGTACACGCTCCTTCTAGAACCCAAATTATAGCACTATTATGCGAATCCTCGCGCTGGCGAGCATACTGCCCCACGCTGAGAACATAAAGAGCAGTGCTACACCCTTTTTTCACTTGTGCTTTCAGGTGAACGTCAGCCACTGACCGACAAGAACAAAACCAACCCGGGAAACTTGGGCAAAACCCCCGATCCTGTGTATCAATCCATGAATCCGTGAATATTCCATCCTGATTGGCTTACGTCTGACCAATCTGAGCAAAGCTTCGTTTTGTCCGTAGACCGGCTCGCGATATATATAAGCAATCGACGCGATGTTCGGTTATTTCGGGCAGCGCATTTTTGGGTATCGTTGGAACCAATGCAATTGCCCAGGTAAATGAATGTATCTTTCCTGCCGGTGGTTAGACTGCAAATCTCACTGTTTGATCTCACCTAAAATCGTAGCAGCATTTTTGACTTCCCAGCCGTGAAGCACATACAGAAACACGCAGAATTATTTTGCTTGTTTTCGTTATTTAAAGTGGCTTTCATCTATGCCAAGTCTGAATCAAGGGGGTCGATGTTCTTGGCACACAAAAGTTCATGACCGAACACCGCGTGTATTTCGATTCCCGAGGTTTCGGAAACAGGAAGAGATTTTTGCTTGGACCGTCAATGTCTCAAGCAACGTGTGAAAAGACGGGTGAGGAAAGCAACATCTTCGTACATCACTAAACGTGAAAACTTAAGGATGACTCGTTGTTGACTTAGAAACCGGTGGACACGTGGTACAACGCGGCGTCCCGATTGCTGTCTAGGCCTCAGCAGCTCAACTCCCGTGCTTCATTCGGGTGACTCGACAGCCAGACACTGAAAGGTTGTTACACCTGGACGATACGATGGTACACGACTGTACGAGGTTGACTTGAGCGACATCTCGCCATCGACATCTTGCCATACCCGTCCGGGCCCGAAGAACTTGCCGACATTGGGGCTAAAAATTTAGAGTGGGTACATTTGATTCCTAGGCTCCGCCTTCAGCTTAAGGAAAACAACCAGCGTTGGACGTTTGGATAAGTGACGCTGTCCAACCCTTGCTTCAACGTAGAAATATGGTCTATGTTTCCTAAGTCAGGACCTAAACCAGGGTAATCCTTCTGAGTTAGTCGATAAACCTGCGCAAAATAATACCGGGAAGCATCTTAGATTCCACGACTACCTGGCTGATGCCATGATTATTGTACGACGTCCTTGTGTCCTTTTCGAAGATGGATCATGGTCGGAGCGCTCCGTTCCACTCCTTTTAGCTTTTCCATACTAGGGTAGTCAACCTAGTCATTGAGCTTTCACTATCTGCCCTGAAAATTGTAGGGCGCGTACATTGCATTTCGGGTGCCCCGTCACGGTGAAATTCCGTTCTTGCTGGTGGATTAGTGTCGATGTTATATTCTGGGTATTTGGAGTTTTCCAGGGGTTTCTTTGGAAGAGGTCAGTCATCGATTGTCTACGGCCTTCTTTACCTCCTTGGTCCTCAAAACTCCCCAGAGTTATCTCACTGTTCAGAATCTTGATTTTCTTGATTTAAGTGGTCTTAATTTACCTTCATTGCCGTCGGCTACTGGAAGGAATTTCCGGACAACAGTAAGCTCTGTCCATCTCGACAATATCCAGCGTTAATTTGGTCAGGTGTGATGTCCTGGGGGCAGTCCTTCACTCTCCATTCATTCTCCTATCAGCCATCGTCAGCGTGATTCATTTTTAGCCATACCTCCTCGATATTGTCGAGCTACTGAAACTCGCCGAAGATGAGGAATGGACTTGCTCCGCTTCCGTGTGTGTGATGCTTGGGACAGACATAACTTCTGATCGAACTTGCACGATGTCATGATCAGAGTCAAGTCGCGTGCCTCCATACTGAACCACAACCTTTAACTAAAATGGTTAAAATGGTTAGAGCGTGAATTTACTCTCTGAAAGGTCCGTTGTTCGAACCCGACCTCTGCCTATCGACATCCCTTCCTAGGCTTGGGCAACCTGGCAATATCCCAGCTCTCGTGCTTCCTTTGGGTGGCGTGGCAGCTGGGCACCTAAAGGGTGTTACAGCTAACGATCATCTTTTAACTGAAACACTGCATCGGTGACTGACAGTTACATGGTCCAACTGGTCCCGTAGCCGGTTTTCGGTCGATGGCCTCCGACTTGGTGTGAACGCTTGTGTTGAGAATTTCTACTGGCCAGCAACAGATGATGCGCCGCACACAAGTGAAGAAGTTGCTCCCTATTGTCTGTACGCTGAGCATCGACTTCTAATCTAGAACCCAACTGTTTTCCCCCGGCTTAGTCGTCCAGCTGGTTAGTTCATGCTATAGGCCAGGATAATAAAGTCCGTCCTTGTTGGCCGCAGAAATCGTGGCAGATTTCGATAAAACCCATCCCCTCACCTGAATTGCATTCTCTCGGGGCATATACGGACACGTCGAATAGTCACCGTTTACCGCATCGATGTGCACTGTTCTTAATGAGACCAGGCAGCCGTACAGCGCAAAGACGGTTGTTTACTACGTTCCGGACTAGTAAAGAACTCTCTGCCCCAAGGCCAAGTGTAACTCACAACATAGATACCACGAACCATTGTATCAAAAGATATCTGGAAGTGGCCGAAATTCTGACTTGTTTCGCATTGTACTGTAGTCTTCGGTGAGCGCAAAAGGCTTTTCGTGCAACCGTTTCATAATGAACAATGTGTCAAATGGTTTGAGGGTTCTAAAGGTTGACATCTATTTCGAATTCGTTTTGATAATTGGTGCTGGAGCATTGTCCTTAAGAATGTAGAAATCGTTTCCTGACTTCCCTTGGAGTGACAGATGAACGCGCTTCGCTTTGTAGATCTGCAAGCCACAACCTTGTCTTTGATTTACGATTTCCCTGCTGTCTTTGTCGTCTTGACTGCTTGATAAGAACCTCTTCACTCCCTTAGATATAGGTGCAACCACGCCCCCCTTTAAACCCGTTACTCAAGCCCAACTCACTTGGCTGCAGGAGAGTGTCAGCCCGAGGACGCAAGGTATAAATCACAAACATCACATTGCCAGCGTCACCGCCGGAAGCAAGTGTGCTTGGAGCTTGGGGCTTCTCATACGTTGTAGTTGTCATCCGGCTGTGTCGGATAAATCGCCGGTTGCCAAGCTCAAACACTAGGGCATATGACTTTTAGGGCCGACCTTCTGAAGCATTTCGGCTTCCATTTATGGTTCAGTGCTTAGCTGCCGCGTCACCCGAAGGAAGCACGAGGAAGTCGAGCTGCAGAGGTCACGTTCGAACCGCAGATCTTCCGTTCAGTAAATTTGCGCTGTAACCACTGAGCCATCTCACTCCTCATTTATAGACATGTTTGTTTGGAATAAATGCCTTACCATCGTGACGCTGTTATCTCAGTGAAAATGCGGCCTCACCATTAGGCTCGCATAATCCGGTTACTCGAACTCAGAAAACCCGCTATTGTTCCTCCGGTTGCCCATTTTCGGATTTCGTGGCATGGTTGAACAGGGGGCGAGATGGCCCAAGTGGTTAGAGCGCGAATTTACTGACCGGAAGGTCCGTGGTTCGGATCCGACCGCCACTCGACTTCCCCTGTCTAGGCTTGGGCAACCTGGCAGTATCCCAGCCCTCGTGCTTCCTTCGGGTGGCATAGCAGCTAGGCACCGGAAGGGTACTACAGCTGAATGCTCATGGCGGCACTCAATGCGACCATCAAGTCGAAGTGACGCAGTCTTAACACACTAGTCACATAAAGGCATTTAATAAACCGTGGTGCACTAACTAGAAAGCACTTACCTGCCAAGTGCGCATTTGCGGTCCAGAAAAGTGCCGACTAGTAAAAAAAAAGTATCCTATATGAGAATTTTCATTTAAGCAGTTTCTTTGCGCACATTTTTCGACTCATGTCTGCACGATCTAATCAAAACCTCTTGACACCGCAGGTTCTGATATTGGAAAAAATTTCATCGTCCGGATTCGCAAGTTGTGTGCCGTAATTTAACTAGTTTTGCATGACGTCCGATCTACGTGGTTATGGCTATGCCATCCTGTCTGGGTTCCTTGCTGCCTCGGCTGCCTTTTCTGCAAAGTTTTTCAGTACCACTCACCAGCAGGATACTCCGAGTTCAAAATGGATGGGAATAAAACTCGCTGTCCTGGCAGGTTATGTGGCTTACGTGGTTATCAATTTGTTAATGTGGATAGCGTTCACGGCGGCTTTACGAAAAACTGGTAGGTGTATCACCATCCTTGCACTGAACTCTCTGGCGAATTTTGGATTTTCGGTAAGTGGTCAGTGGTATTTACCTTTTTATTCCAGGCATTATTTGGTTTTCTTTGTTTTGGTGAGAGTCTGACGATGCAATGGTGCTTGGGCATGACTTTTATCTTTATTGGGATATGCACTCTGATGCTTGAGTCATAAGGGCATCGCTTTTCCCCATATCTATGAATTTTTTATCAAAAGAAAGCTGCTGTACTGTGATCTGACAACTGATGTATATTTTACCGTATGACATTTTGTTTCCCAAAGCTAATAAACAAATCTATCCACTTTTACAATTTTTGTTGTGTGCACTCCTTTAGGCGAGGTTACGAGGAAAGCTAAGGGATTAAAACCTATTTCTCTCAACATCAGAACTGCAGTCTGTTAGGGCATATGCTGCGAACAGGCACAGTTTACCGTATCGACGTGCATTGGTCTTAATTACACCAGGCAACCGTGCGGTGCAAAAATGCCTGTTCAGTATGTTAGGATCCAGCAAAGCGCTCTTCAACCGTAGGCATAAGTTCAATTTTCATACCATTGATATTACAGGCCTTTGCATTAAGATCACCAGATATCCTATGGGTGAAATGTGGAACACACGTGCTCCTCCTAAGTGAATCGGGGTTCGCAACCAAACTAGGGTCTTGTTTGCGCGTCGACAGAAGGGGGAAGCAGGGCTTCAGTAAGATATGTTTGCTGTGTAATTTGGTAGAGAATATAAACGTTGAAGACTGCAACGTGGATAAAAACTGAGTTTAGCAAGGGATCTTTTTGGTTTGTTTTCCTGAGCGGTAACTTAGATGTAAGATAATCGTTAGAAGACTGACAGATGGATTGACCGGATTGTATCATTTGCTGTCTGTGAAGGGGATGTGGGTGAGAGTTGGTGAACAAAAAAATCGGTGCCCAACTGCCATGCACGATGGCTGGGATACTGCCAGGTCGCCCAAGCCTAGACAGGAGAAGTCGAGAGACAGATGTCGGGCACGAACCTTCCGGTCAGTAAATTCGCGCTCTAACCACGGGCCACCTCGCCCCCGTTCGGAACAAAACGTCGCAAGGATCGGCACGAACCTCCGGTCAGTAAATTCGCGCTCTAACCACGGGCCACCTCGCCCCCGTTCGGAACAAAACGTCGCAAGGATCGAGTGATACTTCCCAGGCTGAGGAAGAGCTATCGCACCTCCAGCCTTTAGCTTAAACGCACGACCCACAAGGTAATCAGAGAATGTAGGGTTTTGTTTCGGTACGCCGACCTTAGCCTTCGACTCAATAATCCCGTCCGCGCTGGTGCGGGGACCGGCCTTTTCTGTGAATAATACTTAGATGCCTCACTTCTTATGGCAGGCTTCACGTGTTTTTCGACCGTGTTAGTTAGTTCGCTGACGGCCACGATCAACCGTTAGGCGATCAAAATATTGGTTTATTGGTCAGACCTTTTGTTACCTTCCTTCCTAGGGGAACACAGCACAACTGCTCCCGTATATGTGGACATGTTCATCTACAGGAAGCATCATGCTCCCATCGCAGAGGACAGTACGACGTGAATGTTTCTTATTACGGTGACTCTTTGTTCCTCATCTGACTGCTCCCCTTTGGCCTTTCTGGCATTGTTGCATCTCGTGGAACGGCGTAGTACGCGGCAGCACTCAAGCCCGACCACCACGTCAAGCTGGTATCTTTAGGTCAGCTCAAATTCAGCTGTGTGGTGTGTGTGATCCATATTTTGATAGTTTTGAGTGTCGCTTCCCGCTTCACTGTGACGTTTTTTATCCATTCTTACAAACGTGGTGACCAGTTGTGATCTTATTGAAAATAGCCTTCCGCAAGATCATATGTCCTCTAGTGAAATAAATCAGATAAGCTTAAGGTAGGTCGTTTCGTGAGGTTGAATCTATGGTCTCTTGCTGGACTTGGCTTTCGGTCGGACGGTTCAAAGAGCTAGGCTTTGCAACCAGGTACGGATAGTTTTTTCTCAAAAAAATCAGGTTTTCTTAATAGTGAATGTTGTATACATCACTGAGAATCTCTAGAATCCATCATAGTGACTGATCGGCTTCCGAATTAGGGGGTAGATTACTTTTGTGTTCCGCGAACACTTGTCTTAGAGGAAACAAAGGAGTATCTATGTATCTCAGCCCCGCATTCCACTTTGCACCACTAACCTGGTCATTCACCTAACGTAGTACCTCCAGCTTAAACGATACTGGCGTATGTCTGTTTTGGCGACTCTGAGCGACTCTCTGGAGATGTATTATCAAGGTTCTCATTGTTATCTCTGTTAATGTTTGTCTTTAGAGAAGTGTTGCTCAAACCTTACGGATAAGCAGGTCGGCTGGGCAATTACCCGGTGCATTGATCCTGACCGTCGGAAACTTTATCAAAATTAAATCACTACATTGATGTGTGAGTCAAGCTGAACTCAAAAGCACAGCGAATGCTAATCCTAAGCTCCTCATGTTGGATGCACCCTGCGGGACAGCTTTTAAGACCTGTTCGTCTGTGTGCCCGTGTTATGCCAGGCACAATTTATTCCTCGATTTCTGAAGCATGCATGACCTGAAGGCTTCCCTAAACGATACAGAGGAATAGACTTTGGTAGCCACGACAAACGCATTCCTCGTATGGTGCGGCCGTCGTCTAGGTGATAGCTATGTCCACTTTTTGTCGTCGATACTCGTAGCTAGTCAGTCCGATAATCGGCCGAAAATCGTGTGTTCACCGGATAATGGTGTCGCGAATAAGCTTGAATTTGATCGTAGTTCATTTGAGCCAAACTCAATCAACTTTCGCTAAAATCTCCAAGCACATCTTAGTCAGTCCCTCAGATATCGCCAAATAGTGTTCTCATTCTCCTGAACAAGCTATTGCTAATAATAATAAATAAATAATAGTTTCGCTGTAGCACCCCTTCGGTGCTAGGTGTCATGTCATCTGAATGAAGCACGAGGGCTGAGGTAGTGCGTTGCCAAATCCTAGACAGGAGCAGTCGAGATGCAAAGGTTTGGTTCGAACCACGGGCCTTCAGATCAGTAAACTCGCTCCCTAGCCACTGAACTGTCTTGGTCCAAGCTATTGCCAGAAGGAACGCTGTCTTTACCTATCTATGTCCTATTCACTTGATGGTGGGGTTGTTCTCCAGAATTTATCCTGTGTTCCTGACTTCACAAACTACCACCGTATATGTATTCTCGTTTTGTTCCTCGTTGTAAAATGCCGTCCGGGGCTAACCGGCTGCCCCATTATTTGATAGCAGTATCTAGATTACTGAGCTGTTCGACCAAAATGCATTTGGTGCGCACACGAAAGTGGTTTAGGCATATCTTGTCGAGTACCGCGTTTAGTTATTTCACTGAAAGCTTTCGTCCGCCTCATCAAACCGGACAACTTGCACTTTTAAACCTTCGGCTTCGTAACATTCCAACGCATGTTCAGCATAAACTACGATCGCTCGGAACCAGGTTTTCCTGGGCTTTTAGGTGTGCCAACTAGTTATATCGTCCGACGTTACATCGCATCTAGATACGTAACACAGTGTAAAGCAACGCGCAGCCAGCTGCAATATTGGGACTGTAGGCAACAATAATCGACGTTTCCTTCAAATGTTTGTTTCTGAAGTCAGCTCAGTCATTAAGCCCACAAGAAGAATGACGAGTCTGTAGTTACGCATATTTCGACGAGCAGGTACTCACGGAAGGGAACCTAGAACGAGACTGAAAAGGCAATAAGTACTCCAGTTCTGGTTTTCGAAAAAGTTTGGTAACAATCGGTAGATTACTAGGTTCACTGACACCTTTCTAAGGCAACCAGATATTTTAACTCAGCAGATATCATTGCCCAGAAGACCATCAAGTGCAGTTTCCACTCGACACAGCTGATGTATTCGCCTACACCTATATTGTATCCGTTAGGTACTTTGTTACGACCTGACTTCAAGTGAAAAAGAGCGGTCAGGCAGTAGAAGTCGCGAGGTAACCTGGGTTGGGACAGTAAACTTGTATGCTTCAGTGTCATGCATTTGAGAACACTTGTTAAAGGGGCCTCAGTGGACCGCGCGCCTATCTGAAGCTGTTTGGTGGGAAAAAAACTTGTTCTGATCTTTGATTCGGAAGCATCAGAATAGGTTCAGTGACCAGAAATCAATAAAATGGATTGAAGGTTAACTGGAAGGTTGCTTCGTTGCGGTGCTATTTATTTTTAACAATGGGATAAATGCGCGAAGCACAGTGAAAGGTGAAATGTCCTCTTCTTGGTAGAACATAGCAACCTATCACCAGGTGATTCATTGAGTTTGAATAATCTGAAATTACCCAGTGCCCCTAGCTGACTGTGCCATCATGCAGCTCGTAAATATCCCTATGGCCAGCGACTCGTCAGTGAATCCTTACAATTGGGTCAATTCCGCTTTTCTTATAGCCCAATAAAACAGTCCGCACTGTAACTTGATACGTCTCTTGAGATCGAGGAATACGCCGTTTTACCATCAAGGGTCTCAAAATAGCAAACGCGACCCAAGCCAAATAGATTTCTGAATTTGCCTCATCTGTCACACTACGAATAGAACTCATACGAATTCCAGTATACGTAAAGTACTTAATAACTTCGAATCTCTCCTTATATTGTAAACGGCGTCCCCAATGATTGCATTTCCAGGATCAAAACTGTACCCTTTTGGATGCAAAGCGCTTGCCAAAGGGCTAAATGGATTTCGTCAGCTTATCGAAAATACCCACTTCTTCATCTAAAAGACAAGAACGACTTAGTTTTCATATTCCGGGTCGACAAGGCTTTTTATCAACAGCTATTTGAAGCCCAGGGCTTTGAATACCTAGCATCCATCTCATTAGTTCATTGACCACGAAATTGAATACGGATAGAGAGGGTCGGCAGTCATGTCGGGGACCACCGCAAGGAGGCTTTTAGAAAGCCCTCAGACACTTGGAAGTCTGAGAGTGCAAAGAACGTAGTATGTTCACAAACTGCTAGGACTTTCCCTGCTGAGCAAGTGTGTTAAGG